TGTGTGTGTGTGTGTGTGTATCATTTATGTATATATGTATATATGCAGATGAGTATGTATATACGTGTGTGTATGCATTTCATCTGGTTTAGGAAATATTAGCATAGTTATTTCATTTTTCTGTCAGAACTGGAAAACAATGCAATGAATTAGGAATGGAAAAGGGGTTTGTTTATATAAGTTATACTTCATCATACTCCTTTTCAGACTCATAATCACTGAATGAGTGGTGTGTTTCTATATAATTGATTATGTACTTCATAGAAAGGTATTGTTTTATTTTACACTTGTCAGTGAAATGTTTGTCTGAAATAAAGTATCATAATTCAAATGTTATTTTTTTAACATTGAAAAAATCCATTTAACACTTTAATACAAAGGAAAACATACAGATATGCTAATTTATTTCACAGTGCGTTGAAATGATTATTTTTAAATTTAATTACACAATTATAAATTCATTGGATTTTAGACACATTTAATGTGGACATATTAAAAACACTGACTGTGTATGTCCTTATAAATTATTCAGGACATACACAGAGATTAACATAAAACAAAACATTTATTATGTAAAGTTGGTCTTCGATTCTGTTCTAATGGACCTTTACATTTGGCCAACATGTTTCTTCCGACTAGAAGTAATATTTACATTTTGGGGCGAGTTGATGAGTGGGGTTAGAGTAAGGAGGCCTTCCAGCCTCATCAGTGAAGATAAATCACAGGCAGAAAACTCTGATTGCTGCTCTAACAGTGACTATTGATTATTGAAGAGGGTGTGAATACTTTCCAGCATATTTTAACCAAATGTAATTAAAAACTGATGCAAAGAAACAAACTTCTTGGCAGAAGAAATATCTGCTGAGTGTGAATAGTTTTGGATTCAACTGGATTGAATTAAAGATAAGAAAACTGGAGGTATTTACTGTGCAATACTGAGTTCATCCTGATGGTGGCGCTGTTAGTGTTGTGACTCCTTACTATATCTCAGATCAGGATAAGATGGGATTGCTGCTTGGTTCTCGTTAAGCTCGTTAACTCCGATCAGAATTAGATCTCTGTTGACAGTGGTGGGCGGGGCTAATGTCTGACCACGCCCCCTGACCTCTGACATTGTGGTTGTTTGTCCTGTGAGAACCGATGTGTGTGTTTGTGCTTTTCTACTACGTTACGAGGTCCCTCTGCTCCTTATGGGGCCCAAAGTTGAGTTTGTTATGGTTAGGCTTTAGAAATGAATGGAAGCCAAAGTCCTTCCAGATAGAAAGGCGTAATGAGTGTGTGACAGAGAGTGTGTGTGTGTGTGTGTGTGTGTGTGATTAGGGTGGATTAACAGCGAGCAGCAGCAGTCAGACGAGCTGCAGGCGGTCAGAGACGCTGACATGTGAGTACATTTCACCCATTTTCACACTTCAAGCTGAATGTTGACGCTCAGATCGTTGCAGAACTTCTTGATCCAAATGTTAGAAAGTCGAATCTTCTCAGAGCCATGATGAAGTGAAAGTTCTGTCGTTCACTGATGAGTCTTACTCAGGTAACAATGAGTTGGTCCAGTAGAACCACATGGGAAGCTGGTTCTGCTGATGGCCTGCAGAGATTCTCCATGTCAGTTTTCACTCTGCAGCTCCAGCAGGTCAGTGGAGGTGAAACAAGGTGAAGGTTAGCTCCTGCTGTCTGGACCCGGCTGCCCTGGGTCAGAGCCGACCTCTGGTTCTGATGACCAGGAGACAGCGGGCCTGCTGTGAGCTGGTGTCTGGAACGGACGGGTCGGCTGCGTGTGAGAGCGTCTTTGTTTTGGCCATGTGACCATCACAGCTGAGAGGGAAGCTTTATCTGCTTTATGCTGCTGAAAATCTCCAGATTCCTGAATGTCTGGATGCTATTCCTCTCAGTTTGGAGGTTAGAGATCCACCAGAGGAAGTTCTGGACACTTTCTGAAAATCTCAGCAACTTGCCTTTTTTCAGGCGATTACTTCAATACTGAAGCTACTTCACACAGCTGGACAGAACCTCTCCTCCATAAACCTTGGATCAGATCTGGCTCCATTCCTCTGGGACTGTTGAACTGCAACTGAACTTATAGAGGAATCACTTGAAGAATGAAAACTAATTTTATGGCTTTTACGAGTATTTACAGCCTCTGACTTTTCCTCAGACCTTTGTAGGATCCCCGTTTGGCTGCAGGTGTTTCATCTGTCCAAGTCTCAGTAGGTAATCTGTCCTCTACATGTCCAGATGATCGATTGTCAAAGCTCTGAATTAATCAGAGCTTAGGATGCTGCTGTGGAACCAAACAGACTCCATTTCACTCTGGGTGAAGACTTCCTTTGCTCTTCTTGACCTACATGACCCAACAGAACATGACCAGAAGGCTTTTAAAACCCTTTTCTTTGTGAAGGGACTCATGCTGTTGCTAGACTCTTAGTACTTAAAAAAGGTTCTTCTTGTCCCCAAAATAACCTCCGGTACTTTAACTACATTCTATTCGTCATTTCCTGAGGCGGCATGTCACAAACGCTATCATAAAACTCCACCAGGCTCTAACCAGGACCTCTAAACACAGCCGAAGGGCTTTTCCATGCTCAGCTCCCAGGAGTTGCAGTGGAAACCACTGGTTTCTTTATACCTCCCTGAAGACTTCACAAAAACCCTGAAATCTTACAAAGACGCTTCAAAGACTTTACAAAAACTTAGGAAAAGACTCCAATAAAACAATAAAACACCTCACAAGAATCCTATCAAGATCCCACAAAATCTTGCAGACATCTCAAAATCCCTACATAGAAGCTGCTTTGGCAGATTATATTACAGCAGAGTTTTAATCCAGCGTAAAGGGAGTATTGGAACGTGTTCTAAAGTTTCATTTGAATTGTCAAAATGTACTCAGCACTCATTCGGAGTCACAGTGAAAAACCTAAAAGCCTTTGTCTGAAGGTTAGAAGTCTGAACTTTTCCTTCTTTACCTTTCAGCTGATGTCAGAAGAGGAGCTGGGACCCACCAACAGGTGACACCCTTCCCATGATGCCCTGCAGCTTTGAGGGATCATCATGGGAGATGAGTCTTACCCAGAATGCCAAGCTCAGGAGCTGTTTGATGAGTTTGTTTCAGCATCGACCTGCAGGGCGGCGCTGCGCTGCTTCAGCCAGCTATGCAAACATCTGCAGCTGGATCACAGCTCCACCGAAAAGCCTCTCTACCAACCAATCAAACGGCGGCTCAACTACTGGAAGGCCAATGCTCTGTGGGCCAAACTGGACCGGAGGGCGGCACAGCAGGAGTACCAGAGGGGCCGGGTCTGCAGAAACATGACTGTGAGGCTTTACCGTTTTCTGTAATGATGCATTTAGACGAACTGTTTCTGATTGGTCAGCTTGTCTCCCCTCTGACTGATCAGTGTGTGATCATCGGGGCGGGGCCTTGTGGTCTCAGGACAGCGGTGGAGCTCTGCTTCATGGGAGCCCGAGTGGTAGTCCTGGAGAAAAGGGAGTCGTTCTCCAGAAACAACGTGCTCCACCTTTGGCCCTTCACCATCTACGACCTGAGGGGTCTCGGGGCCAAAAAGTTCTATGGAAAGTTCTGTGCAGGCTCCATCGACCACATCAGTGAGTCTTTGACCAGCTGGTTCTGTCTGATGACATGATTACAGTGTCAAAACCACCTCTCTCCTGTGTGCAGGTATCCGTCAGCTGCAGCTCGTTCTGCTGAAGGTGGCCTTGCTCCTGGGGGCCGAAGTTCATGTCAATGTTGAGTTCAAGCAGCTGGTGGAGCCACCAGAAGACCAGCACAGAAACAGTGAGGCCAGGGAGGTTGAAGGAAGGGGCTGTAGGCAGAAAGTACAACCAGCCAGTTTTCATGAAGGACACTGAAGTATCTAAAGATTTGTAGCAGAGAAAACAGCCTCAGACTCTTGTGTTAGTTTAAGCTTTTAAATCAACTAAAAGCTGAAATGTTTATATTGAAAGGCTTGAAGTTCAGTTTACATTTTTATAAATCAAACTGATCTGTCACCTGTCCTCATGTCCAGAGGAGGGCTGGAGGATGGAGGTGAGTCCAAAGTCCCACCCAGTCAGTCAGATGGAGTTTGACGTCATCATTGGAGCAGATGGACGCAGGAACACGCTGCCAGGTTTGCAAACATTTACATCTGTCCTTCTACAGTTTATGATTGGTACAAGACCCGGATAAGAGATTTTCTGGTGATCAGGTTTCAGGCGTAAGGAGTTCAGGGGGAAACTGGCCATCGCCATCACAGCCAACTTCAAAAACAGAAACACCTCAGCCGAGGCCAAAGTGGAAGAGATCAGCGGAGTGGCTTTTATCTTCAACCAGAGGTTCTTTCAGGAGCTGCGGCAAGAAACTGGTTCGTCTGAACCTGCAGGTCTGACTGAGACACCTGGTCTGGAACTCAGTTTAACATAAACACCTGGTTTCAGGTATTGACCTGGAGAACATAGTCTACTACAAGGACGACACTCACTACTTTGTTATGACAGCAAAGAAACAGAGTCTCTTGGACAAAGGAGTCATTCTACAGGTAAGTAAAACACCTGGAGTCGCTCTGTCCCAGTGATAGAAAGAATGCAAGGTAAATTACTCACCTGTAGTCACTCTATTGGTAGCAAGTAGTGGCTGGTTCATCCTCTTATCCTATCTGAAGTCAATAGAGTCACAAGGTAACTCTCACCAGAACCACCTGGTGAGAGTTACCTTGAAGATACTTACAAGGAAAAACGATCACACCTGGAGTGACTTTTGATAGGACACATTATTACAGGTAATAATGACATACCTGGACTGCAGGCAACAGCTCACTATGACACACTTCACCGATAATCTCACCTCAGGTCCTTCTAAAGGTAACAGAGACACAGAACAGGTAAAATCACTTACCTGTAGCCATTCCTCTGGTAGTAAGCTAGGTCTGTGGTTACAAAGCAAATCATCACACCTGGAGTCAAAGATCAACAGAACTTTGGGTTGAAGGTCTCATAAGTCTGTCGTCCTTCAGGACTTTCCAGACACAGAGCAGCTCCTGTCTCGAGGGAACGTGGACCAGGATGCTTTGCAGGCATACGCCCGTGAGGCCGCAGATTTCTCCACCAATCACCAGCTGCCAATCCTGCACTTCGCCATGAACCACTACGGTCAGCCGGACGTCGCCATGTTCGACTTTACCTGCATGTACGCATCAGAAAACGCTGCCTTGATTCGCCAGCGCCACGGACACCAGCTGCTGGTCACATTGGTTGGAGACAGTCTGCTAGAGGTGAGATAGGTGTCTTCTGGACAAAGACATGTAACCAGCAGATCATGGTTAGAACAGATCTCCGTCTGTCTACAGCCCTTTTGGCCGATGGGGACAGGTGTGGCCCGGGGGTTCCTAGCAGCTCTGGATTCAGCCTGGATGATCAGAAGTTGGGCTCAGGGTGGAGCACCACTAGATGTCCTGGCTGAGAGGTAAGAGCTCACCTGGACATGATTTAACTTCTGATTTGCCTCATGATTTGACATGATCTTTTGTCACCAAGGGAGAGTCTGTACCGCCTGCTGCCTCAGACTACTCCAGAGAACATGCAGAAGAGCATCAGTCTGTTCACTTTAGATCCAGTGACAAGATACGTGAACATCAGCCCTCTGACCGTCACACCTGCTCAGGTGAACACACAACAGAGACGCTATTTTATGTTGTTGTCTTTAAAATAAAGACACTGAAAACTTTTTACCTTTCATGTTGATATGCTTTTGGTTGCCAGGTGAGACACCTGGTGGACACAGGTAAAGAGGCGGGGCTAAACACAAGTGAGAGTAATATTATCCGGCTGCCTTCCCCCAGACTTTCAAGACAAGGTGACTTAACTTTCATAACCTTTGTTACCTGAATGTTCATTCATTGGCTCACTGGCATGTTTACCTGAGATCTGCTCACCTGGCTCCTCTTTGGTTCCACTGCCTCAATCAGTGGGTCACCTGGTTTGTTTTGGCTCTGGTTGGGTCTTTAGAGGTAAACTGGTTCTTGATGAAACATCAGTTAGGTATAATCATTCTACAATGACTCCAGGATCAAGTTCAGTCAGATCAGGTAGATCAGGGCCTCACCTGGACTCAGGAACAACAGTAAGTACCAAGAGTTCAGCCCTTTGCCCAATGGTTAGGGGTGGGAGGCCGTTTAGAGGCAGAAAAAAACTGCATGGCATCATTTACCCAAGGACTCAAATGCTATATAAGGAGCCTCAATGCAGAGGTGCAGTGCTGGTTGGACCACAGCTGAGGATAAACCTTAGATGCCCAAACCTTATTTGCTGAAACTGCTTTCTGAAAGTGTTGCATCTTTAATCTGTTTGATCTCCCATCTCATTTCCTTCTCAGAGTCCTTCTCTCAGTCCAATCAGCTGCTGACTTGGTGTCAGCAGCAGACTCATGGTTACAGAGGTGTCGCTGTTTGTGACCTGACTACTTCCTGGAAGAGTGGCCTTGCCCTTTGTGCTCTTATCCACCGATGCCGACCAGATCTGATGTAACACACTAGACAGTCATGTTTTAAGGCTTGTGATTAAAACACAGGAGACTGCTTGTGTTTTGACCTGAAACATTGTCCAACCTCAGAGACTACGACTCTCTGGACGAGTCGTCAGTGGAGGAAAACATCCACCTCGCATTTGACGTGGCTGAGCAGGAGTTTGGGATTTCACCTCTGATGACGGTGGAAGAGATGTCGTCTGTTGGAGAACCAGACTCTCTTTCTATGGTGATGTACCTGAGTCAGTTCTACCAGCTGCACAAAGAGTCGCTGCACCCTGCTGGTGAGACCGAACATTGCAACAGTTTTTACATTTTATTTACCCAAACTGATGTGAGGTCAGATGAGTCCAGTAAAGGTGCATCAGTCAACAGCTGGTGTTGCCGTTTGTTCCAGGCTCCCTGAGTCAGAATGCTGATCTGAGAGCAGCTCTCTTCACTCCAGCCTCCCTCCTCAGCAGACTGGGAACCAGTCCGTCCAGGAAGAGAAACCCAAAGGTACCAGTGGCTCCTCCTCATTATGTCTGCTGTGTTCTGTCTCAGACTTACCGTGGTATTGACCTGTTACCTCTGCAGGAGCATGGAGACGCTCTGGGCAAAAGGAGAAGGACGAGTCCGGAGAGCGGAGAGCTGCAGGAGGTCAGCTACCTCTGGTTGGATGGTTGGATGGATGGATGCACTGAAACATTCTGAATTTTTCCATCTAAAGTCTCAGATCTTCATGTCTTCCTGTTTTCTGTCTTCCAGTCACGTGACTTTAATGGCGACTTTGATGATAACTTTGTGGGCGGGACCAGCCGCTCCAGAGTTCGTCTGATGGCCAATCAGCTGCAGGCAAAGCTGGACGAGGGCTCTGCGACCTGCGTGACGTCTTCGTCTTCTTCTGCTTCCGCTCTACGTCAGCAGGTGGGCGGAGTCAGGCTCTGGGTCCGCGGTGCGACTCATGATGTTAACAGGAAACAGACTGGAGCTTCCCTCCATGACGTCACCTGTACCACATGTCAAACTAAGGTCTTGTTCTCAATAATGTAATTCCACCTGATCACCAGCAGGGGGCGCCATCCAGCCTCCCCCCCTCACAGTCTGCAGACCCCCCGCAGGCCACGCCTCCTGCACAGTCGTCGTCATGGAGACCGGTAAAACCCAGTAGATTTTAATCACAAATCCTGACATTTCGATAGGAATGTCTGATTCTTTTAGACCTCCAGCTCATTTAAAGTGAAAAGGGTCAATTATTCCGGGAGGGGGGTGAATACTTGTTACCAACAGAACCTCACGGTTCTGCGCTGCCCTGTCTCTGCCAGAAGAAGCGGACCCTCCAGCAGGAGCAGATGAGTTTCCGCTTCAGGGAAAGGATCAAGTCTCAGTGGGCCGCCAGCCGGGACCAGCAGGTACCGGTGCTGGACGTGACGTCACGTGACCCGGTCCGACCCGCCGGGCCTCCTCTGTCCTCTGTCTCGTTGTGTCCTGTGGCTGCAACCGTCCCAGTGCCGCATGTGACCCACAACATCCAAACCCCATGAATGGTTCCTATTGATGGGCCCGGGAGCCTGCCGAACCGCCCTGACAGCTGGACGGGTTGCTGACTGGGCACTTTGTGCAGCCGGAACATGAAATCCCCAGAATGTTTCCACAATCAGAATTTCAGTTCAACTGCAGCAGCTTCCAGCAAAACTGGCAGCAGAAATTCAAAAATCAGCAGCTGGAGAGTCCAGACCAGAAGTCTGGCCTCAGTAAAGATGGCCGCCATTGAACGCTTTGAATTAATAGAGGATCGATCCTGATTGGCTGGTTTAGTTTGTCCTGTGAGAACAGAAACACTGATTGTGCTGCTGAAGATGGAGAACATTAGATCAGTTAGCTGTGATTTACCCTCATGTCCTCTCTGCCCCTCATGTCCTCTCTGCCCCTCATGTCCTCTCTGTCCCTCATGTCCTCTCTGTCCCTCATGTCCTCTCTGTCCCTCATGTCCTCTCTGTCCCTGTGTCCAAAGTGTCTCCAGCTGTACACCGGTGGAGTGAGCTCATTGGCTGAGCAGATAACCAGCCGTTTTCAGCGTCAGCAGCAGACTAGCTTGGTAAGAAGGTTTCTTCATCTTTATGTGGAATGGCCACTAGAGGGCAGGAGTGGTGCCTTCATAGAAAGTTGAGTGGAAGGAAAACCATCAGAATCATCAGATCTGCTGGAGGTAAAGGCTGAACTGTTTCCCTCTGTGGTTGGAGGAGCTGCAGAAATCCGACCCGGTCCCAGTTTGTCACAAACCCAGCAGAACCCGGCAGCCTCTGGTCCGGTTCTGCTTCAATAGACAATCAAGTTATGGATGTGGAGTATGAGGAGTGAAGACTTTTCAGGGTTTTTTTACTCTGTTGTTCTTCAGTCTGGGTTCTGGTTCCTCCCCTGTCCTCCAGTCCTCCCCTGACCCCCTGTCCTTCCCTGTCCTCTGGTTTTGTCTCTTCATTGTCCCCCTGTCCTCCGGTCCAATCGGTGTCTCTGACCCTGCAGGTCTCCGTGGGAAGCGACGTCTGTTTCTTCTGCAAGCAGAAGGTTTATGTGATGGAGCGTCTGAGCGCCGAGGGGCTCTTCTTCCATCGCAGCTGCTTCCGTTGTGACTCCTGCAGCGCCCCCCTCAGGCTGGTCTCCTACAGCTACGACCAGGACGCCGGTCAGTTCACAGATGACCTCTGACCTTTTGGAAAAAGTAGCTACATTTGTCGTTAGTCGTTTTTTTTAAAGAAGGTTAGCAACAGAGCTTCTGTCCTACTGACCACGCCCCCATCACCTCTTGGCTCCGCCCACTGCGGCGGATGTTGTTGCTGTTCGTCTGGGGGCGGAGCTTTGCTTTCACAGGGGGGTAGTTTCACTTTAAGAACGAAGCTGCGGGTTCTGGCAGTTAAACTTTTTTTTGATAATGAATCTTAAGTTCAGGCTGTTGCTGTGAATCAAACCTGAAGGTAGAAAAACTCCAGCTCACCTGGACAGAAGGTCAGTTAAATCATGTAGTTCTCAGAAGAAAGACCTGCTGCCACATCCAACCTTCAGTTTGTAAATTAAATCAATGTTTAAATCAGGTTTCAGTTGGTACGACTCAGGTTAAACTCACTGAGGAAATCTAAATTCATCTCATTTTAATCTGAGTCATTTGTTGTCTGAGTTTGGTGAAGCAGCAGCTGTTTGTCAACCTCCAGGCTCACATGACACGGAGCCTGGACTCATGACTGCCGTCTGCGTTTCCATCAGCAGCAGCAGAGATGATTTATCATGAAACCACAGCGCTGCTAATCTGAGCTAAGAATAGCAACCATTAACTGGATCATACGCTGCTGAATATGGAGACAAACAGATTTATCTTTAGACTAAAAACCAGGAAGCTCTGCTGCTGCTTCAAGATGCAGAAAACACAAATTAATTCATAGATTGGATCAGTTTTATAAATGTTCAAGCATGAGCGGTTCTGAGGGCCATCCCTCTGCAACCCATGGGGCCCCCTCATCCCTTCTTGCTCTCATGGGGCCCCCATGCAGCCCCCTGCCACCCATCTTGCCCCCATGTGGCCCCCTGCCACCCATCAGGCCCCCTGCCACCCATGGGGCCTCCATGCGGCCCCCTGCCACCCATGGGACCTCCATGTGGCCCCCTGCCACCCATGGGGCCTCCATGTGGCCCCCTGCCACCCATCAGGCCTCCTGCCACCCATCAGGCCCCCATGTGGCCCCCTGGGACCCGTGTGGCCCCCTGCCATCACAGCAGCCTGGCAGCGGCCACATGATGCCGTCATGTGAAGGACCTTGGGTCTCTGCGCTGCAGCTCTGTGGGGTTTTTATCTGACAGGATTCTTGCTGTGTGTGTGTGAAGCTCAGCAGCCAATGGGAACGCAGAGGTCACATGACCTGTGTTTGAAGCAGGCATGCGGCTATAAAGGCGGGGCAGCTCCGTGCTGGTGCTGATGGCGTTGTCTCCGTCTTCTGTCTCAGGAAAGTTTCGCTGCCTGCAGCATCCTGACTGCCGGCCGGCCGCTCCCAGGAAGAGAGCGACTCCCACGGGAACATCGGCGGTGAGCAAAAACCCGCGCCTGTTGCTGCAGGTGGTTGCTATGGTAACCATGGTCCGTCTTGTCTTGCAGCCGTCTCGGTCCTCAGATGCGTCCCTCTCCGGCTCTCTGAGCGAGCGCCGCCGGTCTTCAGGTGAGGCCGCCTCACCTGGCCGCGTCAGTCTGCATACGAGTCGACACGGAGGCCGCCGCTTTAAACCTCTGGATCGATGTGGGCTTTAGTGTGTGTGTGTGTGTGTGTGTGTCTGTGTGTGTGCGTGGCTGCACTGCTGTGTCTGCAGCTGCGTCTGTGATGGTGGCGACGCCGGAGCGGATCGAGCTGGAGAACTGCAGGAAGGAGGAGGAGGAGGTACCAGAGGAGGTCCAGAACCAGGTCAACCTGAGCCAAGGTGTGCATGTCAGGTGAGGGACGGAGCTATATGGAAGTCCAACAGGACCAAAAATATGTTTCTAGAGCCGCATTAAAATGAGAAACTGAAAAAGAGTCAAATTCACAGGAAAAAACTTTGGATCAAAGATAGAAAAGTTTAAAAATATAATTCAGAATATTAGGATTTTCAGTCAAACCTTAACAGAAAATATGGAAAGCAATCAATGCCACATTATTTAAATCAGATTATAAATTGCAATTAAATTAGAAAGCTTTAATTATTACAAACTGGAAGAAATTAAAAACTGACACAAATGTTTTAATTTTACTTGTCAAATTATTGCAAACTGTAAAATAATGCCTGTCAAAAAACTGAAGTGAAAATGTGACTGTTTTAATTTTCTTCTTTCTCTTTTCAAACTTTAAATTTATACAAAAATGAAACTTTTTTATATTAATGTCTGAATTATTTAAGTATTTTAAACTAGGAATCACATTTTTTAATTATTTTTTCTAGATATTTGGAAAACTAATGTCCTTCTCTCTGACCTGCAGGATTTGATTTTTCTGTATGAAAATGTTTTTTGTTTGTTTGTTTGTAGTTTTAACTGAAAATTTTGATTTAAAAATAAGATAAAACGAAGAAACGTTTATGTCTTACATTTTTATAAAATCTTTGAAAATAAACAGATTTTAAGTTTTTTGGGAGGATTTTTGTTACCAAACATCGATGTAGTTTTGCTGCTAAAACCTGATTTTTCTGTTCGAAACTCAGTAAAAGTTAAATTTAAAAACAGTAAATTTTAATCAGATTGTTGGTAGTGCTTTTAACATTCTGAATTTAGCTTTGAAAAATTTAAATATCTGATCAGTTAATCATTCCCAAATCAGATAAATAAAAAATTATATTTTGAATGCGGAGGGTCTTAAGAACCAAAAACATATTTATATAGAAAAACCGTAATAATTTTTGTGTCAAAAAGTTCAGAGGTTGTTCAAACTTTATTATATATTTAATCAGTTGAATTTCAGTAAAAATGTTTGAAAAATGACATTTATATGAATATTTTTAGAATATTTGAAAACGTCATTAATAAAAAGTTTTGAAAGTTGATATGAAACTCAGAATTATCCTTGGATTTCTCCTCAACAGAAACTTTATGAATACGTTTTCTGGCCCACTAAATGAGATTTAATGAAAAGTAAAAAGTGAATAATATTAAATACATTTCTGCTCTCAGGTTTTGAAATTATTTTATTTCCTTATGTTGATAATTTGTCCTGTTTTATCAGTGGCTGATAATAAATCTGATGTTTCTGATAATTACGCTGCAAATCTGATATTTAATGTAAATATTAATCTTCAGTGAATTGTTTGTGTGTTTCCTGCTGTCAGCTCAGAGGAAGAGGAGGATGAAGGTCCAGGCTGTGAGGAAGAGGAGGATGAAGGTCCAGGCTGTGAGGAAGAGGAGGATGAAGGTCCAGGCTGTGTGACCTCACAGGAGGTCAACACTTCGAGACGGGAAACTCTGAGAGAGGAAGAGGAGGAAGAGGAAGGCAGCGCTGAAGACAAGTCCAGCGACGGTGAGTTCCAGTCTGTGTGTGTGTGTGTGGGTGAGTGTGTGTGTGGTGTGTGTGTGTATGTAGGTGTGTGTGTGTAGGTGAGTGTGTGTGTGTAGGTGAGTGTGTGTGGTGTGTGTGTGTATGTAGGTGTGTCTGTGTGTAGGTGTGTGTGTGTGTGTGTGGTGTGTGTGTGTATGTGGGTGTGTGTGTGTGTAGGTGAGTGTGTGTGGAGGTGTGCCTGTGTGTAGGTGAGTGTGTGTGTGTGAGGTGCGTGTGTGTATGTGGGTGTGTGTGTGTGTGGGTGAGTGTGTGTGGAGGTGTGCCTGTGTGTAGGTGAGTGTGT